AGTACACATATAGAGGTAGGAGAGCATTCAATGACACCTACAATCTGAAAACGGCTTAATACATAGCTCCTAATCTCTGCTCTGAAAACTGAGAAATGGAGCAAGGGAAACAAAAGCTAAAATAAATGGGAACTCACAGAAAAAAGAGCTGTTAGGGATCTTAGCATAACCCATAATCTCCAGCTCTAATCTTTATAAAATTAAATAACTAACTAGGACAATGTTGTACGTTCTAACATGAGCAGCGTATTATTTCTGCTAACTTTATACTGTAATGCCATGAAAGACTCGCATTTCTTGTAATAACTGATCCCACTTTCTCATTCTGGATGTATCTACATTTTGTGATTCCTTCTGTTTATTTCAATGTCCAGTTGCCAGTATTCAACGTTGTTAATATTGTGATCCTTTGAATTGTTAATATGTGAAACATTTAAATCTAGTAATTTTATGTCATTCTAGGTTTGGCGTATAAGGACTGGTCAATGTTTGCGGCGTCTTGAACGTGCTCATTCCCAGGGTGTCACAAGTATTTCCTTCTCTCGCGATGGAAGCCAGCTATTAAGTACTTCATTTGACAGCACGGCAAGGTTTCATTTTGACAATTTTCCTAACTTCCGTGATATGAACTATTAATGGGTCTGAGTCTTCACCCATTGCTATTTTTCAAGGTCAAAGATCTACCAACATTTTATCAGTTCATTAATGGCTTTACAGTAGTAAATTCAATCCTCCCTGTTTCTTAAGTCAAATTAAATTTCTTATCAGGCAGTGATGGGTCTATTTTTGAAACCTGGCCATGGCCAACGATGAATTCTGACTTTATTTTTGAAAATTGGTGCGAAAAGCTAGAAAGTGGTAGGTAATCATTGTTTCTTGTCATGTATCAGTTTGGAAACGCCTTTAAACCCAAGTCATACGGGATTTTACTTTGTGCTACCATTCCAAACAATGAAAAAATTTTCCAAGCTCTCCTGCCGACAGAATAATGTTTCCATGGATAACATAAAAATTCAGATTATTATTTCACAAATTATCTACCCTCATAAACGGGACTTCTGTTGCTGCTGCTTTTATTTTGTCATCTTAGATCAGATACACTTCTCTTCAGTTGTCCCACCCCACTTTATTATATTGCCGTAACTATCAATGATTTATGCCTTTACGGATAGTTCATTAATTTTTTATCTTTATAATGCCTATCTATATAAAACTAACAAATTCTTATTCATGGGTCAACAATGATGTCGCTGTTGTATAAGATAGTTCACTAAAGATGTTTAACAGCTACTTAGTGCAATTGTTTTCTTGACATTTAGAATCCATGGCCTAAAATCTGGCAAACTATTGAAAGAGTTTCGTGGCCATACATCTTATGTGAATGATGCAATTTTCACAAGTGATGGAAGCCGTGTTGTAACTGCCTCCAGTGATTGTACAATCAAGGTCATCACTTCAGAACATACAAGGGACGTGTGCTTTTTGCCGTCCTTAGTTAGTGAGAAATAACTTGTTTTCTCTTTATTTGTAGGTCTGGGATTTGAAGTCTACAGATTGCATACAAACTTTTAAGCCGCCACCTCCTTTAAGGGCAAGTCTTAAGATAATAATGTCATTGTGTGTCTTTGTTATTAAGTTTTGCACACTCATTTTTCCTGCAAATGTATTCTGCCTAATATCTGGTTCCTTTTGTACTGGCAGGGAGGTGATGCATCTGTTAACTCTGTTCATATTTTCCCAAAGAATACCGATCACATTGTTGTATGTAATAAAACATCTTCAATATACATCATGACCCTTCAAGGGCAGGTATACATCCAACATCGTATTTTTTTCTCCACTCACTGTCTTTCAGTACTAGAGCTAAGACTGATGACAATGTTTTCCCATTTTTATTTTTTTTATAAATGTTGTGTGAGAAGACTAAATTTATGATTTTGCATTTTCATGTTGGTAGATATCTAGTTCCAAATGCTCCTTTTTCCAACCTTGTCCTTAATCCTATAACTGCTGTTATTCAGAGAAATTCTTAGGTACCACATGAGTACCACCTCATTTATGCACTCTCTGATAGAAATATACCAATTCGATAAATATAAGTCCAGATGTTAGTCATTTTTTAATTTATAATATGTTTATTATTTTCTTTTAAGCAACTCTTGCAGTCATTCTTTCTCCCATCTGTAATGCACCTCAAAAAAGGGAGAGGAGGAAAATGAGAAAGGAGAGTCAGTCTAAAAAGGGAGGGGAGGACATGGATGTTGAAGAATAAAGAAGAGAGACAAAATGTGAGAGAAGTGCATTGGAAAATGGGAGAGAGGATATGAGAGTGGAAGTGTTTCTGAAGAGATATGATAAAAATATTTTATATTAAAAAATTGACACATCCTGACCTGTGGCCTTGTATTTATTGAGTTGGTGTACTTTTATTGAGAAAGTGCACCAATGAGGTGGTACTTGGAGCACGCAAGAATTTCTTGTTATTCATCTATTTTACCAACTGCCAGTTCGAACAAGTTATTGCTCTACTTGAAAAATGATAAAAATGTTTCTCTTCAATTTCAAAAGAATGAATAGTTGTAGAATCTTATAGACACCTCTTATATTCTATTCTTCTTAGCATACTTTTTCTTTTTTTTCCCCCTCATATTGGTGTAGGTCGTGAAGAGTTTCTCATCTGGTAAGAGAGAAGGTGGAGACTTTGTTGCAGCTTGTGTTTCACCTAAAGGGGAATGGATATACTGTGTTGGTGAAGATAGGTACTTTCAGATATATGTTTGATAAACTTGTTCCTTCATGCAATTTCATACACAATGATGTTTATTGAATCTTATAGAGTGATTTGGTTAAAAAAAAAAAAAGTAAATTAGGTAAATAAATAGATAAAGAATCTTATGGAGCCCAACTTATGATTCATAATTCTATATCTTTTTTACACTCCAGAGCTTTGTCTGCTCTTTACTTTCTCAAAATGATAATTTTATCACTGTTATGGTGGGAAGGGAGCTCCTTCTGACCTCTTCTTTCGAAAAACTGGTTATGAATACTTTCAATTGAGTTATCCTCCCCTTATCATTCTGATTCTCAGTTATTTCGTTTAATTCAACGTTGTTTTATTCTCTCATGTTATCTGCAAATAAAATTCAGGAACATGTACTGCTTCAGCTATCAATCTGGCAAATTGGAACATCTAATGAAGGTATCTTTTACTTTGTTGTTGTTGTTGGTGGTGGTGGTGGTGTTGATTTATTTTAATCAGCATGTCTACTTGTGCGGATCAAATAGATGCTAGTAGTTGCCACTTCAAGTTTTAAATTGAGGGCTGGTGTTAAAGTGGGGATATAAATTTAACATGAGGCTAGATATGTTTCTGCCACAGGAAAGAGTTGCAATGCTCAAGGCTTGAATATAGTGTATGTAGTGTTGCAATATTCAAGGCTTATATATAGTGTATATTTATTTTTTGGTGGATTGTATATAGTTTTTATATTACTATAGATTTTGTATATAGGGTTAAAGTGCATTTTTACTTTTAGGAGTATTTCCAGAGAAGCTATGGCATCTTAAGGAAAATTGTGGAGCAATGTAGCATATAATCATTCAAAATTAGTGCAATGTTGTCATTTTTTAAAAGTAAACGCTGGGTCCAAAAAAAGAAAAGAAAGAAAAGGCCAACCTACACTAATGGTTAACTGATAAGAAATGACAACATTGCCGCTAGTTTTGAAATATTAGCGTGTACATGTTAAACTAGAATTGGACGCAGCAGACCTTTCTTGATGTTAAGCATTGAAGCTGTTAGGGTGGTGCTGAAGGGTTCTTTTATGCATTCTATGTGAATCAACTCGATGGTACAATTTGGTTAAAATGATCACGCAACTATTTAATCCTTGGGTTGGTTTTTCTTTTCTTGTGTTCTGGTTACACGCTGTCAAAGTAGTGTTTGTGCGAGAGAGATATCTTAATATTTCTCTTTTTCTATGGCCATTGGCAGGTCCATGAGAAGGAAGTTATAGGCGTGACACATCATCCTCATAGGAATCTCGTGGCAACTTATAGTGACGATGGTACAATGAAGTTGTGGAAGCCTTGAGAATGTTTGCCTTTATGCTGGCCTATTACTTGAATAAACACCATCTTTTTTCCTCTTATTTATATGTTTTTTTTTTCAATTTCTATTTATTTTGGAAGGTATATTCAAGTAGTAGCGAAATTGTAGGTGATAATTTATAAATTGTATGCTGCTCCCACAAAATTAATGCAGCATTGCGCTATTTATTTGTAGACTGTAGCTGGCTCTCTGTAAGGAGAGAGCCTTTCCTTTTCCCTTCCTCTCATTTTCTTTTGATTACCATTAGATTGTTTGATTTTATTACCATTAAATTATTATTATAATTTTGCATAAAAAATATTTAAATTGTTAAAATTTCATCTGAAAATTTAAAATTGTAGACTATTGTAAAAATGTTAGTGTGATTTTTTTTTTCTTCATCCCAATTTGTTACTGTTCAAATGAAATTCTAAAAATAGTAAGGGCAAGACTCTCTAACACAAACTGTAAGTTGACTTGGAATGTAAGAAGAATGTAAGAAGAATCAAATGTTGATTCAATGAATTGTAATGCGTTTCTGCATTCAGATAAGACCACTTTTAGGACGCCTCTATCTTATTTTAAGTTGGGTTCCTTTAACAAAGCACTATGATATGACAGTTTATAAGAGCACTTTTGCATAGAAGCGTTCCGATATAATTTTTAGTTAGAATATTAGAATATAAAATGCCTATTGAAGTGTTTATTAAAATAAGTGCTACAGTAGGTCATGTTTTTTTTTTCAGAGAATTTAAATATAAGTGCTCTGAAATGTTTCACTTTAATTTTCAAGAACATTTTTACATGTAAGCGCTTTGTTAAGGGCATTTCTGCAAGTCTGTTTTATAATAGTGATATTTGAGATAATCCTCTCCACGGATGAACGTAAAAGACATGCAATCAATGATCATTAGGGCTGGTTGGAGCAATCCATCGGCTTGAATGAAATGATATTATTGTGAATATTACCAAAAAAAAAAATGATATTATTGTGAAGATCGTAGCCAACCAAGAAGTCTATTTGAGCTACGTTCCCTATAAGTGCTGCACCATCACTTGACATGGCTTGAAAAGCAAAGCACACTACACTTGGAGTAACCGCAAAGAAAATATTATGTGGACTCAACACGACATCGGCGTCGCCATTAAAATGAAGAGTAATAATGGGAAACTCGAAGGTTTCAACGCTTCCTGATTCATAGCAAAGACTGAAATTTAGATTGCTTGGATTTGAAGTTCGATCTAATTGGATATTTTCTGCCACTTCTGATTCCACTTCGGAGAAAAATCTTTCGGCAGTAACAAGATTGTTGTTCCAGAATCAATCACTGTGTTGCCCTCATCTGCGATAGTCTCTAGTTAAGTTAGCCTATCATGTTTACTATTCCACTAAATGCATAATGAGTGAAAATGTATGTAATTAACAAAATGATTTATAATTTTGTTTTACTATGTATTGGTGTAATGAACAACAAGGAAATTAGAAAATTAAACATGCATGGAAGTATCGAATGAACTAACTATAATATTAATAGAAATTATAATTATAGTAAGCATATCAATAAAAGGAGTGGAATTTGCTGAAATGAAAAAAAGAATAAGCAACTTGGATGGAGAATGAATGACCAAAATTAATATATCCAAGGAAAAATAATAAACACTAGAAAAGGACAAATATAAAGACACAAATAAATGCGGGCACATTTTATCACTATTAATATTCTTTTTGTTTTTGTTTTCTTTCCAAGTTTACTGCACCAATTAATTTGGTATATATAAAGTCATGACATATATGTCATGGCCAAAAGTGTATGCACGTTAATCCTTTAACTTTATACAATATTTTATTTAAGTCTTTTAATTAATTATAAAGTATTTTTTTAGCACTCTAATCTAATCCCTATTAATTATAGTTTTATCAACAGAAAATATCATGATAGTATATTTTAAATGCTTATAAAATATTTTCAAATATTAATATATTACGTTTAATTTTTTAAAAACTAATAATGATTGACACAAAAAATAATCATTAGTGGTGAATCACGTTGAATGAGGTCTACAGTGAAACCAAGTTTGGTTGATTTTATGTGGAATGTGGTAAAAGTACTTGAAAGGATAAAGATTGTGAAAGAGACCAGAATATAGGGTTTAGAAGATGAGACCGCTTCGATGAGGTGTTTTGGAGATATAGTTGAGGTATGAGGTGTTAGTTTTTATATATATATATATATATATATATATATATATACAACTATATATAGAATAAGATGTCCCTTTTTTAAACAAATGTAAAATAAATTAAATTTAAAACTGAAGATACGTTGTAGGGAGTACTTATAATCCCTGAGTGAATAATTAATTAACCTGGCCATTGTATTATTCTCAGGGACATTTAAACATAAAAAAAAACGTATATGATTTAAAATACTAGGAGAAGTTGAAAAAATGGTAATACTATTTCAAGGCATATATTGTTTTTGTCTCAACTTAAATATTGAGTCTTGTACGTTGCGTGGAGCTCAAAAATAAGGAATGTTATCACAACTTATAAACAATATAGCTTTGTTAGATATATCTAGAGAATATTTTATTTTTAATTCTAATATATGGGGTATGGGGAATTCAGTGTATACTTTAAAAGAATGATCACATTCAAACCTGTAGTTGCATTAAAAAACTGTACAGGGAAGATCTCTATAGAGAATAATATTTCATATTTTTTAGATGATTTCATTTAAGGAAGGTCATCTCATGTTCTAGCATTTAAGATGAAAAAACTCAAGCTGTGACTTGTGAGAACTAATCTCATTTACTTTGGAGTCCTACATTGGTTGATTTAATTTTGATACTAAACTACAATTACGAGACCATTCGTTTTTTAAATTTTACCATTTGGCACTAATTAAACATTTTCTCCATTGTAAAAAGTTCATGAATACCATTAAATTTTGCAATGTTGTCCCCCTACATTCACAAAACAATAATGTAGATAATGCATTCAGAAATATACTTTTATACACAAAGTGATTATGAATGTATTGATAACATATAGGCCTCATATGTACATAGAATCAAAATATTATATATCTTTCTTTTTAAATGTATGCGTGAATGTAAGAGATTCAATTAACAAATTTGAGGTGACACTGTATAATATGATCAATGTAAGCAACTGAGCATATCATGTAAATAAAATAACTTGAAGATTACATCTAAAAAAAAACGTTGTTTCATAAAGTCAGGCCCCTTAAGGGTTGAACCGTTCAGAACCGACTTTTAAGCCAAGAGTCAAAATTAAGGCAGGAGCTGGGAATAAATATTATTGAGGAACCAGGCGGGCCATGAATGACTTGAAATTTAAGGGTGATCTTAATTAGCTAATTAACAGTAGAAGAGAAAACACACAAGACTTGGAGAAAAAGGAGGATGACGACAAAGAGGAAGATGAAAGAAGACGAAGATTAAAAGAGCAAACAAGAACGTTGAAGTTGTTTACAGTACACACAGAGAGAGAGAGAGAGAGAGAGAGAGAAACCAAGTTGTTCTTCTCATAGATAAGAGAGCTTTGTACAATCCGCAGGCTTGAAAGAAACAAGATTCTTCTGAAGGTCATGCCCAATCAAGAAGTTCAACTGAGCCACATTCCCATAAATAGCAATATCTGAAGTATCTTTGAAAGAAAAGCAAGCCACTTCATAATCCACCATAATGAATGTGTTGATTGCATCTAGCAGTACATCTGCACCTTTAAAATGAGCAGTAATGATGGGAGCTCCAACATCCTCAATCCTTTGTGTCTCATAACAAAGGTCACCAAGTGGGTGAAAAGCACGATTTGATCTTTGGTCCATCACTATTGAAACCTCTGCTTTAAGTTCAGTGTAAAAATCTCGCGGCAAGTAAGTCACTGTTGTCCCAGAGTCAATTACTATGTTGCCCTCCGTCCCTTCATATGTGAATTATTCCTCATTATTCTCAAAGCATACTAAGCTAGCAAAAGATAAATTAAAAAGCAACAGATAACATTAAACAAATCATTAAAAAGGCAAATTGAATCTTAAACTATAAATTTAGGAGCTTCAATTCTGGGATCCTAAATTTATTTTTAGTATAATGTTTCATTTTAACTTTTAAAAATGATGCAATATCACTCGTACTGATTATAAAAGTTAACTTTATTCATTTATTAACCAGAAAATCACAAAAAATGATGTCAAATATTACAGAAAATGATAAAAAAAATTACAGACAAGGAACCGAAAAATCATTAAAAAATGACAATTTTTTTGTCCTTTTCTGTAATTTTTGAGATTCTTTTATATTATTTTCTAATAAATTAATGGTCAAGTTAACTTTTGTTAATAATAGAAATAACGTTGTATCGTTTTCAAAAATTGAAAAAGAATATTATATAAAAAACGAGTTTAGAATCCTATATACTCTTGAACTTATAGTTTGGTAGCAAATTTGTCATTTAACCCTTAAATAAAATGTTAATATATGTCAAGTGTGAGTCAACTAGGGGTCAAGTCATCCTAGAGCACAAAATTTAATATCATTGAATGAATCATCACCTGATGGCATCCGTATTCTTTTGCCTGCCACACTCATTGCTTCCAAGGTCAAGTAATAGTAAGTTGGTGGCCATTTGGAGACCAAAGGAGTAGATACAACATCAGGTCCAGAAAATAAAGCACTCTGACCAAATTTCAATTTAACAGAAGAAGCCACAAATGGTGGAACTAAACAGTACGAGAAGTAGCCATCAATGAAAGAGCTTATTTGTGAGACTAATGATAATGGTCCTCGTCCGAGGCCAACAATACCAGAAGTCTTTCTTGAAAACTTTTCATTATTGTTATACCCACATCCAAATGTAAATCTTGTAAATCTCACTTTTCCACCACTTGTAGATCCAAGTGTTAGTGTGTCATGGCTGATGATTCCCTCTGAAGTTGACCCACCTCCATATTTCTCAAAGTATCTGCAAACATTAGACTGATCACAAGACTGTTTGCTTACCGATCGTCTTGCAGATTCGCATCGTTGGGAATCACACAAAACGTTAATGTGAGTGTATGAATTTAAGGGATTGAATTTATCAGCTTCTTGTGGGAAACATGATTGACATGGCAAGCACTGTAACCAAACAAGGTCACTTCCTGTGTCAGCGAATCCGCGAGTTTGGAATTCTGGGGTGCCTATGGAATATGTCATCAAGTATTCTCTTCCAGAGACATTAATGTCTGCTTCAGGATCGTCATCATGGTTTGTTTCTGTAGAAACATTGTTATTTGGGGAGAAATAGTTCAAGCGCTTGGCGGATCGACGTAGAGCATAGTGCATTTTCTGGTATGGTGTTGTGGAATTATCGTACAGTGGAGAAAGTGGTGAATCACGGTGTATGAGATCCATAGTGAACCCAAGTTTTGCTGCCTTGGTGAAGACTATGACAAAAGTACTTGAAAGGATGAAGATTGTGAGACGGAGAATAAGGGTTTTGAGGATAGAGCCATTTTGGTGATGAGTTTAATTTTGGAGATAGATGAGAGGATGAGTATATATACAATCCATTATTCCCTATTTGTTTACACACACATATGGATTTACCCATACATACATATATACAATTATGTTCTTTTGAGTCTCTCTTTTTCTCTTATCCGAATGTACAACAAATACATGAATGTAGAGGTAGGATCCAATCTACTAATTTTGAGGTTCTCTTAAAATGACAGATGCTAGCCACTAGAATAAATGTAAGCATAAGTAGTTAGGAAATTATATCTTGAGGATATGGTTCAATGATTGAATTGAATGAATTGATGATAAGCCTCAGCACATCTAAAGTTGTAAAGTTGTTGTTGAGTTTTTATCCTAATTCCTAGAAAAAAAATTTACACTTTTTTTTTTCAAATTTTGTCCGTATATTCATTATTTTTAGGGAAAAAGAGCATTACAAACTTTGTGAATGCATTAATAATAATTGAAGACTTCAAATTATTGAAATGTCATAGAACAAATTAAAGAATCATGATCTTTATTTGTAATCAACTAATAATTTATTAAAATCAATGGAATGTGACTCATAAATTTAAATGAAGTTAGTTATGAATTTAACTAATATTAATTGTGAATCAATAAAATGTCAATTATGAATAGATAATTAGTTTTATGAATTTATATATCATCACTTTTAAATTTAAGGATATAAGTTGCTTGTGAATTTTAGGAAGGCCACTAATAAATTTGTGAAAATTTAGTTACAAATAAATAGATTGTCTCGTGAATTTATGCATCACTTATGATTTAGAGAAAATTAGTTGTAAAAATTCAAAGAATATTATATATAAATATATGGAGTAGCAGTTATGAATGAATATGAATAATTTTAATTGTAAATTAATAATTTAGAGACCCTATCATATTTTTTAAATATCCATTTACAAAGTAACTTTCCTCAAATTCACAAGTGGTTGTCTCTAAATTACAAGTGATGATATATATGTATTCATAAATTATCTATTCATTTACGATTGCTTTTCCATATTTTTACATTCAACTTTTCTTAAATTCATAAGTGACCTTTTATTAGTTATTTCAATAATTAAAAAATATTTTAATTACAAATAAAGACTATGGCCGTTTTGCCTTAATATTTTTACAAGGTTCATAATTATCATTTTCCTTTACTTTTAATCTGAATATACACATACATAGTACACACACATCTTATAAATTATCTGCTTTATAATTTTTTTTTTATTGAAAGTCATATTTTCTATTCAAAATAAAAAAATGTAATAATAAAATCAAGTGTTGTTATGGATCAGAGAGTGTGGTACAATCCGCAGGCTTGAAGGAAAGAAGATTGTTTAGAAGGTCATAGCCAACCAAGAAGTTCAACTGAGCCACATTCCCATAAACAACTTGTGATGAGGCATCTTTGAAAGCAAAGCATGCCACGTTATAATTCACCATAACGAACATATTCACTGCTTCTAACCGCACATCAGCACCTCTAAAATGAACCGTTATGGTGGGACCCCCAACATTCTCAACCCGGTCCGTTTCATAACATAGCTCTAAAAAACCGTACGGGTCTCGCGCCCGGTTTAATCTCTGGTCCACCACTGCTGCCACCTCAGCTTCCAATTCAACGTAAAAATCTAATGGTAAGAATGTAAGTGTTGTCCCGGAATCGATGATTATATTGCCCTCCGTCACTTCATATTTATGTAACGAAACATAAATAGTGTTCAAATAATTAAAAAAAAAGAGCCTGAAAGCACTAAATTTGCAATAAAAAATTTAAAAAAAAAGAAAAATATCACTCCAGGTCCTTATAGCATTTTTTGATTGCACAGAAAATTAGATTTTACTGACAATACAGACTATCTCCCAAAATACTAAAAGCAAATGGTAAACTTCTCTCAATCGCTTGTTTAAGTGATGAAAATTGCTATAACTTACACCAACTTTAATTGTTTAGGACGTCCATATATTTTAATCGGGTCTTGTTTTTAACTCATGTAGTCCCTATATTTTTTAAAAAATACCATGTAGTCTTATGCTTATTTGATACCCTTCTCCCTCATCTTAAGAAAATCAGTAGAATTTCTTTTTCTGTTTTTTTTTAATAAAACTAATTTTTTTATCAGACAATTTTTAAAATTTTTTTCACGTCAGTATGTTTTTTCCATAGTCGTCTAATGGGTTAATTGTACATTAACTTCATCTCAGTATTATTATAATGTTGTTTTGACTAACGTAACATTTCATATTGAGCAAACAAAAGGGATGGAAAACCACAAAAATAAACTATATGGACTAAAAACGAAATATGACTAAAGTATAGGGACTTGAGGTGATATTTTCTCAAGAACAAAATTTTATCAAACGAAATGTAAGAAAATCAAATATTAATCACCTGATGTCAACTGTAATCTTTTGTTTCCAACGGTCATTGCTTCCAAAGTAAGGTAATAGTGAGATGGTGGCAACAATCTTGATACCAAACGAGTGGAGACAACACCAGGTCCAGAAACGACAGCGTTCTGACCAAATTTCAGTTTACCAGAATAAGACTCGAACGATGGAACTAAACAGTACGAGAATCTGCCTTCAATGGAGGGACTGAGTTGTGAGACTAATGATAATGGACCTCTTCCAAGGCCAATGATACCAGAAGTCCGACGAGAAAATTTTCCCTTATTGTTATACCCACATCCAAACGTAAACCTAGGAAATCTCACTTTCCCACCACTTGCAGAACCAAGTGAGAGTGTGTCATAGCTGATGATTCCCTCTGAAACTGAAACTCTATCACCATACGTTTGTTTGTATTTGCACATATCAGAGTCACAAGAGAGTTTGGATACCGAATTCCGCGCAGAATCACAACGTTGGGAGAGACATCTGACGTTCACATGAGACGAGGAATCTAAGGGATCGAATTTATCAATGTCTTGTGGGTAACATGACTGACATGGCAAGCATTGTAACCAAACAAGATCACTACCTGTGTCAGCAAACCCACGAGTTTCAAATTCTGGTGTGCCTAACGAATATGTCATTAAGTATTCGAATCCAGAGACATTAATGTCAGCTTCAGGATCATCTTCGATTGTTTCTACAGAAATGTTATTATTATTGGGGAAGAAGTGGTTCAGGCGCTTGGCTGATCGACGTAAAGCATAGTGCATTTTCTGGAATGGTGTTGTGGAGTTATCATATAATGGAGATAGTGGTGAATCACGGTGTAAGAGGTCCACAGTAAAACCAAGTTTGGTTGCTTTGACGAGGAATATGGAAAAAGAACTTGAAAGGATAAATACTGTGAAACAGAGAATACAGCGTTTAGAAATTGGAGCCATTTTAATTTGGTGAGTTTAATTCTGGAGATAGTTGGGAGGAGTATCATCCAACATATTGTTGGTGTTTTGTTTATATAGATTTCAATTTAGAGTTGGCTTGCTCCTACTAGGTATGATCCAATGCTTATTCCTCCTGCTCTCCTCCTATCATTAAATAAAATAAATTTAAAATGTTAAATTTTATAGTATAAATTTAATATTATAATAATAACATTATTACTTACTCTTAAAAATAAATTTATTATTTAATATAATAACAATAATAATTTTATAGTATGTTAAATTGCAACCATTAAAGTTGAAATTTAAGAATATAATAAGAAAGATAAAAGGAGGATAAGAGGAGACATTGTTAGTGGGAGGAGGGAAGTTAACTCCTTTAAATTCAAGAACAGGTCCCGAGATTTTCACTAACTTCTATCATTATTTTGATACGGGATTTTCTTTTTGGTATAGTTGATTAATATATATATATATATATATAATGTGAAATTTTAATTCAAGTTTACCTCCCTGTTCGATAGCCCATTCAATTGCTTATTATATATTATTGTATTTGACTCCTATTAATTATTTGGTCAATTTGAAAAAGTTCAAGATCATCACATGTTGCTATCCAAATACCGTACATTTATAATATATAAACACCCAACACTCACTAATGAATGTATTTTGTATTGGGGAAAAGATAAGTAGAAAAGAGATGATGAATGTAATAATGAAATGTGCACATCATACATAATCAAATTCTTTTGTGTATATTTATCTCTTCCAAATAGTCCAATAATGCATGAATATAGAGGATTCAATAAAGTTTATTTTGAGGTCTCCTTAAAATGTCCAGGTTCCACTAGAATAAATGCTCTTTCCAACTAAACTTTTTAATTATGGTACAAAATCTAATCAATGTATGTAACCGTACGTGTGAACATCAGAACATGCATACTATGGGAATAACATAGAGATTTGGTCACGTGAGTAACTTGAATAAATTAATGGTAAAAGATATATGCCACCACACACTGGAAAGTTGAGGTGGAGTTTTATCCTTTTTTCTGAACAAGATAAATATTTACTGTTGCACCCGTGACTTTCTCGAAGAGGGAAATTGATAGATGTAAGAAAATGGTAGTCACTATCAAATTTTTTTAAAAAACTTTAAAAAACTGTATAATAAAAAAATGATTTGCAATAAGGGTTTGAAGGTCAATTGTATGTATAAAAAATATTAGGCATCTCACAATATTTATTTATAAGAATGTTACCCAAAATAAATTGTATAAAATTAATTGACCTTTTAATAATACTTAAATTACCCCTTTAATCCACATGTAAAAATAAAAAAAAAAACTTGGCCTAGGATCAAGTCTATGTAGTTTGAGATATTATTATTAAATTTTTTAATTAATTTATTTTATGAAGAGGGTGTTATTTGGGTTGTATTTTTTTTATTTAGATTTTTTATAAAAATTTGTTCCTTTGAAATACCTTTGAGTGAGAGGAAAATAACCAACGTTGAAACTTGCAGTGATGTAGTATCACTTATAGTCCACTAGTTGACACTCTACATACACACAATAATTCAGTAACACTCATGGCAAATTCTAAAAAAATTTTCAAAGTGAATAGTTTAACTATGAAATTTTAATGCAAAATCTGATACTTGCGATGATTTAGTATCATTCACGATATCTTATTTGATATTTTTAAGATTAACAATAATTTGGTATCACTTATGGCATAACCTAAAATATGCTAAAAATTTTGTTATTTTCATTATTTTACAATAGTGCTCAAAGGGTTTTTTTCTTTTTTTGACAATCATGATGATTTAGTATCACTCACAATGCATAAAACATTCACAATAATTTAATATTACTCATGAACTCTTAAAATTATGAGGAAGATGGAACTGAAATATAAGATGTCAAGTGGGTATTGATTGTAAAAAAAAAAAAATTGCGTTGGACCAAATATCACAACATTTTGCTACAAGAACCATGAATCAATAAAATAACACAAAACATATGTAATTATTTTGAATAAAGGAAGCAAATGTAATTAGAAGCCGATAACGTGAAGCCCCAAAAAAAAAAAAAGTCAAATCAAGATTAGAGCATTTGGTGGTCAAGTATATGGCTATTATTACAGCACTTGGTGAGGACAAAAAATACCATTTGTGGACTTAAAAGTGTATCACCCTAAACTTGAGGAAGCTCTTCTCTATATTCGAACCAACGATGCACCTAAGCCGAAAGAAGCATGAAAGTAGTACAAGAAAGGTCACTTATTTTTTAAAATTTCACCAATATGCTATGTCGTCTCCTCCCAAATATTTCCCTCCTCCTTGTAGCCTCCTTCTCTCCCTTTTATAGGCATTGAGGTTTTTCCTCATTAATGGCCTAATCAAGACTTGATCCACTCAAATGAAAAATCCTATTTTAACTTTTCAAATCAGATTTTCAAATTCTCCCTATAATTAAACCAAATTTCAATCAAGCCGTAATCATCTCAAAATTAGAATTTGACTTTCCAATTTTCTAATTTTTTTTCTTAATTAAATCAAATCTGAAGGGAACATAATTGGGGGATTTGTGTTCAATGAAAAAGGGAAGATTATTTTTTTATCACAAAAACCCATTTTTATTCTTTTTTATTTATTTAATTTTATTAGGTTTTATTTATTTATTTTTCATTTTCATTTGGAAGTCCAGAAAAAATGCAGCATTTACATTTGCACATCCTCAAATTTTCTTTGTATTCATTATAAAGAGAAAAGCACACAGTTGAAGACCAAAAGATAAACTTAATTTCAGTTTAGGGCCAAATGATTTCTATTTTAACGAGAAAATTAATCTCTTGATTTTTTTTTAATTTTCATCAATTTTAATTTAAATTCTTGTAATTTATTTTGTCTTATTTAAATCTTGTTTAATTAAATATATGAGTCCTTAAAAATTAAAATTATTAATAAATAATTAAATATTTGAAAATGAATTTTTTAAAATTTATAAGAAATTGATTTAATATTTTGGCCAAAAAAGAAAAAATAAAATTTGATTCGATACAATATTTAAATTTTTATTAATTTTTATGAAAATCCTGTGTATATAAAAATTATGTAGAAAACACAACCTAATTATATAAATTTTCAGTAATAAAATTATGTAATATATTCTAGTGTTATATAATATTTGAATAAAAATGTGTACAATTTATTAATTCTAGGATTTTAACCTTGAGGATTAACATGTTTAATTAATTAAATTATAAGTTCTTAACTTTAACAAAATAAACTATAGGGGCCTAATTCAACTTTGAGGAAAAGACCTGCAAATTTATTCTCCTTTAAAATTATTGCATAAAAATTAATAAAAATATAAAATAATAAATGTGTAAAAACATGATAGACTCTCTTATTTTTTTATTACAAGAGAAACCACCACATATTTCACTATTTTTTATGAGAAAAAATATAATTGATTATATTTTTCTCATATTTGAAAATGAATGGGGAGGGGCGGATTTTATTAAATCCATCCCTCATTTAATGTCTTTAAAATTTTTAAATATGATCCCATTTTAATAAATTTATAATTTTTATTCATTGTAATTTTCTGTTTTGTTTAGGTTGACCAATCACATTTATTATAATTATTATAAATTGATTTGATACTTATTAAGATATCTCACTTTATTTTAAAGAAAACATAATCATTGATCCTTATACTTTTATCAGATTTTGCTTTTAGTCACTTTAATTTTTTAATGTGTTTTTCAGTACTTATAAAGGGCTAAAAATACTGAAACAAAAAGGATTTGAGTAACAAATGTTACATAATCTTACTAAAATTATAGAAACTGAAAATATTAAAAAATTATGGGAAGTAAAAGCAAAATCCAATAAAATTACTGAAACCAATGATTATGTTTTTCCTGTATTTTATATAAATCCTCATATCATGAAGGAGTAAATAAGACATTATGTACCCACTTCCTCTTGTTATACTTTTTAATATTCTTCCTTTCAATATTTTATTTATTTTTAAAATATTTTTTCTTTAATAAATAGTAAATTATTTAAAAATATTATTAAATGTTACTTTAAATTTCCTTGGAATTTTTTTTGGGGTCAGAATTGCCTTGGAAATTTAAGTGTGAAAGATAGCCGTGAAGTTTGATATAATGTAAATCGTAGATTAAAAATTAATATATATTTTTTTCAACTCTAGTTAGGTGTTTGTAACATAACATGAGGGTCTGTTTGGATATCTATTTGATTTTTAAAAAAAGTGATTAACATGGTTGATTTTTAATGTAATTGATTAATTTTAACTTTGAGTTCATATTTGATTTTAGCATGTAACATATGAGTTTGATATTTTTAAGAAAATTATAATTTTAAATTCATAATTAATTTTGACATGTGATAAAATTGTTTGGATATATTTTCATAAAATCATGATTTTAATCTTCAAAATAGATTTTTTTTCGATTAAGTTCAAAATAGATTATTAAGTTCATAAATGTAAAGTTAGTTTGATCTCTTCTTTTTGATTTGCAAGTTAGTTTGAATGTTAAAAATAGATCCTGGGGAAACATTTACGTATGTTGTGTGTGTGTGTGTGTGTGTGTATACGAAGATATATTTTAGAAAATAAATTAATTATCTATACAAAATTGAATCTCACGAGAGTAAACTATCTAACAAAAATTTCTCAATATTGTTAACTCCGACGACACCGTCTTTTTTCTTGTTGCTTATATTAATATTTTCTTCCTACAATAAGTCAATAACATTGATATTTAGTTGCCAATATCTAACATTTGTACAGAGTTCTAACTCTTTTATCTCAAGTTCTCAACAATCCAATATTAATTAGATAATAATATAGGACTTTCTAAAATGGACTGGAAGTAGCCAGTTAGCACTTGAAATACCCCCTCTAGTACTCAGTGCGTGTGTATCCTTAGTTCTAATTTATAATCAGTGAAAAGAA